CGACTGACAAACACTATTCACTTGACTCTGAAGATGACTTCCGCTCAGGTTGTCGAAACGTCAGTCACCAACAACAGTTCTTTTCAGAACTACACTCAGCCGGACGATCACACTATACGAACTACTGATACTCCTGGGTTCAAACTATTTACTGAACAATAGTTCTTTTCAGAACTACACTCACCCGGACGATCACACTATACGAACTAAGAACCTAAATGTACAGTTGTTGTATCCGTTACACTTAGGTGGACTTGAGGTGTGTAAATGCAGGTTCTGGGGGTCACTTCTACAAATCACATTTGCCAAGGCTTGGACCCTCTCAACAGATATCGGACAGCAGAGAACAAAGCACAGAGGAGTCACCAAGTTTCTCGTCAATAACTGATGAAGGAATACATCGGTTTCTTCCTCGTGTGACAGATCACGATCGTAACACTTGCCCCTTGAGCATAACACCTGTCGCAGGAAGTGATGATGTTACTTCGCCAGATTCCCAGGTAAAGGTAAACTACTTACCCATGTTGCCTTAACATATCAAACACGAAAGTTAACAAAGTGGCTGTGGAACCACGAGCCGTAGGCGAGTGGCTCCGCAGTAAACTTTGACAATGTTATGACGAAATTTATCATCAATAAGAGGACAGACGTATAAGAAACTGACGTCGATTTGTTTTTTTACAATAACAAGACCCCAAAATGGTCAAATGCCGTGAATAAACGAGGGCAAAAGACGCCGTAAACTTGCCGTAAACAAAGACAAGTGAATTTTATTCAAAATGACGCGAACATTGTCAATAGCTTTTCTCACTTTTTGATTGGCTACTGAAAAAAGTCTATAAAATCTTATTGGTTAAAAAGTTGACAGTTTGACAGCTGAGAGTTGAGCTTGAAAGCTTGCATAAATTAAAATTTCATCCGTCTGTACTCTTATTGATGTAAAAATGAGACAATCAGCGCGCGAGGAATTAGACAGTTATTGTAAAAACCGTATTTGACAACATTCCCAAACACCGAGAAGAGCGTTGAAAGTACACACGCAGCGGAGTATTTTTCACGAACTTCGAGGTGTTTGGAAATGTGGTGTTTCATATATCTTCTCAATCGAAACTAAACCTAAGGAGAAAACAGAGAAATAAAATCGTAAAAATCTATGCTAATTTACATATATCCAAACACCGTCACGGTCATTATTAATGAGTTTGAGAAAGTCGCGTATCTAACGGAAACACCCTTTTCCCAATGTGTTATTCATTGTAAACGATCTTTACATAGCGTCTTTCTGAAATCTTTAAGCTCTCCAATAGTCCGTGGAAAAAGAGGGCTGAAGAGACAAAGGTAAGGAGCATCTTTTTTCTTAGCATTAGTAAAGAGAATAAGATGTATGCCCGTGCTTTGTCGAGACCAGGGGGATCTCTTCTTTTAGAAGACTAAAGCTACGAATGAAGATGGTTTTGAAAAAAAAAATTGCACTACCAACGACCAAGTCGAATAAGTTTACTGGGCTAAATATTTTGATTTGTGCTGTCCGTGACGTAAGGAGAGGTTTATGTGAGTACTTGGAAGATGTTTTTTTTGTATGGTTTTAGCGGACGAGGCAGTCACTACACAGAGCTTCCATTGATGGAAAATGGAACATAGTCAAGATGCTTCTAAAAGATGGAGAAGATGTGGACCAGAGAGACAAGGTGATCTATTTATTTTTCCCTTATTTGCTTTGCAATTTGATTTTAAAGCATTGCGAGAGTAACTATGAGCTTTTACATTTTACTCCCAAATATTTCTCCGCAGCTGAAAAAGATTTTCGAGCTCTTTTAGTTGTGACCGGTAATCAAACCACCTAAAAAAATACACACTAGAATAGTGCCGGATAGGTTTTTTTAAATCATATACAGTAGTACTGTCCTTTATGCGTATACCAATTATAAACGACGGAACATTTATTTACAATTTATTAGAAACGTATTCTTGCTAATAACAACCCCTTGGCAGTCATTGAAATATCGATGGTTCATGCAGACTAAGAATTAAGGCTGTGTGGACTTAAATCATGCCATGGCCCTTTTAATTTGCAGTTTTCATTGACGCCCCTTCACCTAGCAACCTGGTATGGACAGGAGTCTGTTGTCAAACTGTTATTACAGCACGGTGCAGATGTCAATGCTGTGGACAGAGTAAGTTGATTTGTCGTTCAAGTCGAGTCGCAATGGTTAACATCTCTATGCTAGTGCGACAGTGAGGTCGCAACGATTCACCTTTATTTAAAGATGTTTGCTTTGCGACACCGTCAGGTTACACTTTATCCAGACAAAGCTAAACAAGCTTTCACCAAAGAGAAATTGTGCAGATTCCATTGCTGCACAGTAACGGACATGGCTTGGCTTCTTTAAGCGGATAATTTTGTTAGGGTAATGACTAGGTCGCCTGTAAAAAGCGAACTTAATCGTCGTATGTTAAGACTGATACCCACCTGCCTGATACCTATTAGCTAATTACAAGGGCTTAATCGTGTTAGTGAGAGAAAAGATTTTTCTTTTCTTTAAGTCAAATCTATTGTCAATTAAGTTTCAGAAGACACCTCTTCAAAAGGCTGAACGTCACAACCACCATTCTATAGTGCAGCTACTTCTTAGCTTTGGTGCAGCTCCAAAATATCAACAGCCGGTATGAATATGATTACTACGATTACCCTTGAACCAGTAGACACAGCTATTTAATGATAGACTGATTACACAAGTGGCGCTGAATTGGAATAACAGTACGTTAGAAAAATCTTAGTCCTGTGCTTATGTCTCCAGAAAAAGGATTCTTCTCATCAGTGCAAGGCTAAGGTTTTATTTCATGTTGTATTAAAATTCGGTGCTTTTAATATATAATTGGTCAACACCCTTGATCAATTAATTACATATTAATTATACGGATTGTCTTAAACTGTGTGGTTTTAATGCAAATTCCACTCATAGTTGAAATTGTCAATGAATCTTAAATTTTTTTATAATAATTCCTGGGAAAAAGAAGCAGACTTATAAAATTTGTGATATGATTTTATGCCAGTTAGCTGCACAGGCTAGACAAATTCAACAAAAGTGGCGTCCTTCCTCTGCTTATGGTCACATTATTTCTAGGTCAGTTAACGTCACTTATTAAAACAGAATTGAAAAATATCTGGATAGTAGTATAAACGCCGGTACAACTTAACAGAAGCAGCAACATGCTAAAGTAATGCAAACGAATTTCATCGAATTTCGCTCTTTATTCTCACAAAATCTCGTCGAAATTTCATAGAAATTTCGCCCAAATTTCGGTATCGAAATCAAAATTCGCCGAATTTCGTGAATGGAATCGAAATGTTACTGCATTCGGCATCAATCGTCAATGTGTATTGATAAAAGCTTACCTTAAGGAAAGCTATTTTTTCTGAATTTTTTATGGTTCTTTTTTTTTTTTTTACTTAACCCGGTGCATGTTTTCAATATATAACTCTGTACCTATTGCGCCAAATGATATCAGTGGATTATGTGGTTGGCAATTGTTCTGGAGAAAATAATTCATATGAACACTTTCCTGGATAAAGATATCTCTGCCATTATAAGCGAGAACGTCTCGGTAGTTTCTATGGTTGATTGATAGTTTTGTGAATGTCATTGCAGCTCAGTCTTCAGTCGCTTTCAAAGCTGGCTTTCTTAGCGATTGACCAGAGGTCTGGCTTCAACATGCTACACGCCGCTGTTTACGAGGGAGATTACGACAAAGTGGTAGCTGCCAGTGTATACATGGACAACTTTTTACAAGAAATGGATACGTTATCAACTCTAGATAACGCGACGATTTTTCCTGCAACAACCGCTAGTGACATTCTTGCTGATTTGAACAAAAAAGGCCATGACAACATAAAACAGCTGTGCAGAGAACATGCCGAGAAAGTTGCCACCTTAACAGAGTTGCACAAATGTTCTGACAGCAATGATGCTGAAATGGCGGTTGAACTGGTTTTCCATCACGGTACTGATGTAAACATCACGGCAAATGGTAATCGAACACCTCTGCTGTGGGCCAGCTTACGATCCTCCGCTGTGTTTTTCAAGACCCTCATTGATCTTGGAGCTGACCCAAATTTCCAAAGGAAAGATCAGTGCACGCCACTAATAATGGCTTCTTACTGGAATAACTACATGGCTGCCCGCCTTCTCACTGAGACAGGAGTGGATGTAGACGTTCAATGTGATTCAAGTAACGCAGCATTGCATGTCTCAGCTATGAAAGGATTTCTTAATATTTCAAAGCTTTTGACAGAGTCAGGATGTGGCGTGAACTTGCAGAACAACAGCGGTAAAACTCCACTTCATCTGGCAGTTCAAAATGGACACAATCACGTAGTGAAAGTTTTGCTGGAGAGCAATGCTGATGTTAGCATCCGCAACAAGCACGACCCAAAAGAACGATTATTCCTTGTTCGTGGAAAGGACAGAAGTAATCCAGCCTGGCACTATGTCATGGTGGAGAAATGTTTATTGGGTTTGTTCCGTAAACGGACAAACGGAGGACAACTTGATGTAGCAGACTTCGGAATCGTTCTTGCATCAGGATGGGGTGAGAATCCTCCAGAGGATAAAGCGGCAGAAATTTTAGACAAATCAGTCGAGTTTGGGAAGGAAGTTAAAGGTAAGACACCTTTACATGTCGCCTGCGAAATCCGAGTTGAAAACCTTGAGATTATTGAGCTTCTTGTTAAGTATGGCGCAGACATAGATACTCGTGACGGAGATGGCTACACAGCCCTGCAAATGGCGGCCATTCATGGTAAGATGCAAATTGTCAAGAAGCTCGTTGAGCTTAACGCTGACGTCAACTTAACCACAAACGATGGGAAAGATGCCGCTGACCTAGCTCAACTAAATGAAGAAACTGACATAGCAGAGTGTCTCAAGTTAAAAAGAAGTTCTCTCAGAAAGCTCTGGAATACATTTATCAGAAGGCAGTGAAACAGATAAACGGCCTTAGCAATGTATGGCTGATACATTGATACACTGATACATTCACTGATACATTTTACTTACAAACTGGTGCTGCAAGAATGAATGTAAATACAAGAACTGTTGCTTTTAAACTAAAGAAAAACAAACAAAAGAATAGAAAACCAAGAAGGATGCAGGCTGAAATGGCCTCGGACAGTATGTACAAGTGTATATATTAAAACGGGTTGCTTTGGGAGGTTGGATTGAGATTGACTGAATTCAGCTGATCGATCAGTTTCTGTTCGTTAGATACCTGGATAAAAAATAATTCGAACGATTCAACGAGATGGATTAAACGAAACATAACGCTGCTGAACTTAGGAAAAAGTTCCATTCTGTCACCAGGATGTTCGATCGTTTTCGATCTGTTTGATCATCATCAGATATCAGATGATCACTGTGATGATAATCAAACAGATCGAAAACGTTTAGACTCATAACTTTAACAGCTTTTTACCTTTAAGTTGTATATTTTACTTTTATAGGCGAAATTTATATATTTATGAATCAGTTTTAGACAATTGACCAGCTTCCATTTTGGTTGTTTATTCATAAACAGTGACTCGCTGTAAGCTTAATAATTTTTTTTTTTAATTTCAATCTTAAGCCTTCAGAGATTTCTTACCCATAACTGTGATGGGTGGTAGGACATGGTACAATTAAATTCGAATAGACCTTTCCCGCATTCCAGCAAACAATGGCACCGAGTCGAGGTCAGGGTGGACAAAAATACACCAAATGTATGAAAATGTCCACCCCAACCTCGCTCTGGTGCTATTGTTCGTACGCACTTAAGTGGAATGCGGGAAAGGTCTATTAAGGAACGAAATTATCGTAAATGAAGCCCTTTTTCATTTAACGATCTTTATTTTTTATTGTGTTAAACAGCTATTTGCCCTTCAGTCGCTCATTGGCCCTTGGAGGCGCGAATGCGTTATTGACCTAGTATAAATAAATAAACAAACAAAATTAACGAATCTATGCTTTATTGCTTCTATCACGATCTTCGAAGAAATCATAAATCGTTTGACGCGCCAATGTTTTATCGAGATATTTTTTGTTCTCTTGTAATTCTGCTGTCTTCTAAGCTGTTATCTTTTGCCTTAAAAAATCGAAAAAGCCATTCACCATTTATAAAAATTCCAACATGGGCTTAACGCCGGGGTAGCACGTAAAATAACCAACATCGAGATCAGGGACGAATATAGAATTTTCTCTCTTTCAGTCGCTTAAGTCTCAACACCATGTTGGACACAAATTAAATCTTTACCCACAGGGATCGAGAATGACTTAACTTAATCTCAAGCTTAGGGATAACTTAATGGGCCTCCAAATCCTTATCAAAAATAGCCATAAATGAGGTAATGGTGTTTACTAACTACAACTATCTTATTCAACTTGGGTTACGTTTCGATGTTTTTATCGGAAGGCCTCCTTTCTTTTCTCAGCTGCTTTTCTCCTAAAATGCTGTCTTTCGGTGTTTCCGTTCTCGTGTGCCATACGTACACCTAATGAGAGATCACAAAATACCATCACGTGACATAATACTGCATGATAGGGTGTCTTCACCAGCTGTCCGGTGAACGAATCGGCCTGGAAACTACTGCAATACTGATAGGTTTGATGCCTCCAGCAACCCTTATGCACTACCAACGCTAGCACAAGACACATAACTGGAGCATCGCAAGCATAAACACAAAAAACGTGTTTTCCCTTTTTCGTGCGCACGCTTTTAGCATCCGGCCGTTATATTGTACGTAAGAACTGAAGGATGCAAGCATAAGTACATTGAGACCCTTGCCAAAGGTTACGTAAAGGTTTTAAGTCTGTTAGTACTGCTACAGTTAATCTTTCCTGGTAATTGAATGAAGCCGATTGGTGACAAATGGGATAAAGATATCGGTCACTTTCTTAGGAAACTATTTTGATGTAGCACCAAAATTCTCTTCTCTTCCCCTTTAAAACACGTTCGAAAGGAAGTAAAAGATATTGAGAAGATTCAAGCCAAAATAAAGATTCTCTACATGTACTAATATGCTCTCACCTTGCTACAATTTGGCGTGACAGGCTCCAACTCCTTAACAGTAGTTATTTGACTTAGCAAAGACGATTCTAGCATCCCTGCTCTCTGTGGTGCCAGGAACTTAGCTTCTGGGAAATCAATTAATAACTTCTTGATATTCACAGCAAATGCAGCCATGTCGATAGGGAATGGTCGAAACAGACCCCACTTCGCGTGGAAACCAACGACCTGTCCATTCTGACATACGGGACCTGCCCAACGAGCGGCACCGGTGAATGCCACTGGCCAAACACCTACTCCCTGAATCCAACGCATCTAGGGAAAAATTAGGATTATTATAGTAGTAGCAATTTAACCGCGAGCTGTTTTTTAATCAGCTGAATTGGCTGATCACTTTGCGCGTACTTTGTCACAGTGGCTAAGCGTCGAAGAAATAAGATGCAAGGCGCTAAACGTACATTTTTATTTCGCCAAAAACCCAACAAAACAGATCTTTACTAGCAAATTAAAACGCCCTATATCAGATCGATATAAGAATATTTCTAAACTTTCCCAAGAAATTTGTGGGAGGCACGCTGGCCCCATGGTTAGTGTACTCGTTTCCGGATCGAGCGGTCCGGGTTCCAGCCCTGGCTGGGGACATTAATATTGTGATGTGTTCTTGGGCAAGACACTTTACTCTCACTGTGCCACTCTCCAGCCAGGTGTATAAATGGGTATCGGCGAACTTAATGCTGGGGGTAACCCTGCGATGGATTAGCATCCCTTCCAGGGCGGAGTAGAAATACTCCTAGTCGCTTCATGCTACAGAAACCGGGATAAGCTCTGGCCTGGTGGGCCACTTGGCTTGTATGCAGACTTTACCTTACCTTTTACCTTCCCAAGAAATAGACCATTTTACAGTTGTCTGCTCAGTGACCTGGCCTCTGAATGGCAGTGAGGCTGGAGGTGACCTTGTTTTGACACAGACCTCACTGGTTTTGTTGTGCAAATCAAGTTGTTCTTATGCTAAATAATTGGAATTTAAAAAGAGAGGTCTGAATCAAAGCCAGGTCACATTCAGCCTCGCTTGCGTCCATGGGCCAGGTAACTAAGCACAGAACTGTAAAATGGCCTATTTGCAGTGTCTTTCACGCCGAATCAAAGAGAACCTATCCGCTAAGAACTTATATAAGGTTATATAAATAGATTTCCTACAGTGTATATGTATAAGTTCCGTTGGTGACTTACCTCATCAAAGATTCGACTATCGTATGTGTTGTCATCGTCTGCAAAATAAACCACTCCAGTAATCCTGTGGGGATCAATATTATCCCTTAACCATTGAATCCCAAGATTCCTCTGTGCCACCCCACGTGGTTTTAACCTTCGTATCTCACGTCGCTGGCGTCGTAGATTTTCAGGTGTTCTAACGTTAAGATGAGTGTACTTTAAGCCTGAATTCCTCAGGAAATTTGCTACCAAGTTAGATTTGTTCACGGAGTCTTCAACCACAATCCAGTGAAGATTTTTGACAGACTTTAGAGCTTGTGAGACTCGTGTTAACTCAGCTTTCTGAACAAATCGAGTGAACGTAGGAGTGATAACAAAAACTGTGGGTAAGTTAAAATCCTGGCGCACGTTGGAACGTTGTAATTTATTGTTGATTTTATCATACGTATGAAGCTCTCGAGATAACTGGATGAGATTGATTTTCAGCTCTTCTTCCGTTTTCTTCGCTTTTATCAAATACTTGAGCAGTGCCTGTTGTTTGTCCTTCATTCTTTGTAACTCTTTGTTTGCTTCATTGCTGTTTTGGGACCTCGTTTCTTTCGTGTTTTTTAAAGGCTCTTCTTTATCATTTCCTGAATCTACAATTTACAAAGCAAATAAAGTTTTAAAAATAATTGCTATATAGTTCTTGTTCTCGCTTTTAGGTGAAAATGTCCAAGAATCCTTAAGTGATTAATTATAAGAAACAGCCTCTCGAAAAACACGCTGGTCGTGATTTCCCTCTATTAGTTACTTCCCAACGTAAGAGGGTTTCAAATGCTTTGGGTTCGTTCAGTGGTAGTCAAATGTCATCGTCTTAATTTGATTTATTATGTGGCTTTGGCTTGTGGCCGATATAACGCGCGCTCTGATTGGCTAAGAGCGAGATCTGAGCGGTCATTATGCAGCCGTAATGCCCACGGGCCGATTACGGATTATGCAAATTAGGAAGAGCCTAGTTCTGAAAATTCAAGCGCATTGAAGCAATGAAAGCCGATTAAAATCAGTACGAGAATGTCAGTAGCTAAAAGTTTAGAGATATTTCTTTAATAAAAT